TGCCGCGTTTTGTCCACAAAATATACAGTCAATTCACTTTACGGTACATTCTGTGAAACGCTTTGAGACGTGATAAGATGTTATATCAAAAGCAAGGATTATTATTACTGGCTGAATAGTTTTGAACAGCGACACATTGATGAGCTGGAATCGTAACAAAAAAAAGCAAAAGCAACATTAGTAAACTCAGAGTCAGAACTGACGATACCTTAAGCAACTCAACTTCAAAGTAGAGATTATCTTTATATGCCTACCCTGAACTCTAATGGGCAATTTCAAGGTAACAGAGCAAGCCTTCGTAAATTATATTTACATTTCAGTAAATATTTACAAAGATACGTTACTGTATTCACTGGACATCAATTATATTTGCCGGTTTTGATTCAGTTCTTATATCCTGATCACTGAATGGGGTGACCGATTTGGCAACAGGACCGTCAGGAAAAGCAAAACTCTCTCAAAGGTTAATCTAAATCAGTTAAAATGTACGCAAACCCAAGAGGAATTTTACAGATTGCAACATGTTAGATTGTGAAGGACATAGTGCGACTTAAAAGTTATTTTCATTTCAAGATTTCCAATTGCTTATAAAAAGTTGCTAATGTTAAAATGTTACAATCATTAAGTGAGATGATGCAGAAGAGTTTACTACTGAAGGAGGAACATAGTTCAAAGTCTTCAGTACAATTATACGACTGAAGGTCAGATTTGTACTGCCACGACACAGATATTGCAGAATTATCACCTGCTATACAGGTACTGGGAAATATTAGTGAACAGATATTTTCTCTGACATTACAACATTCCACTTAATAAAGTGCAATTATATAAAGCTGATTCTACTTCATTGTGAAACGTTGACACTGCAATCTGTAGATCGATCGAATATTTGGTTAACTGAAGCCGCTTGATGAAATTACTGACTCTATCCACCCACACACACTTTGTCCCAATCTAGAGGACAGAATTCTGTCTGAACACTCATTTATCCCCAAAGTCAATACAACATGAAACCCCCAAATATTCCTTCATCCCCACATCTGTACTATTTCCTAACCATTTTACCCCAGCGGCAGAGAAACTTTCTTTTCTGTAAATCAACTGGTCTACACATATCCTTAGACAGCATCCACCTCCCCAATACTATTTCCAATAGTGTACATATAGCAAGTTCGATTTCCAAGGAACTGATCAATGTAAAATCAACTGGTCCCATTTGGAGCCCACTCCACATACGCGAATATAAGAATTTGCTAAGTAAAGAAGACCAAGGTCCATCTAGATCGCCTTCCCCCATCCTGCCAGTCGCTTGACGTGTTGTGTCCCAAATGCAGGGAGGAATTCTCCAGTCTCACTTGAGAGTCGTGTTAATTCAAGGTGACATATATGTCGACTGTGCTGCAGGTCAGCAATGCAATCATACAGAGTAACCATAATCATTCCAAGCCAAGTGCAGGGTCAGAACATCTTGACGAGATATTGGCTTGAGTAGCAGCATTCACGTGATGTGTTAAAAGTTGCTGGGTTATTATCAATATTAGGCGAGAGATGGTAGTCCCACCAGATCTTCAATAACATTAAAAATGTAACAATCACTCAGTGAGTGGGCCACTACGCCTTCCCCTATGCATATCCGGTTGCAGAGGTGAGGCTGTCAATTTGACACTATATCTACACTCCCATAACAACATGTATCGGCCTTCACTCCAGACGGCGTATCGGAGCACTTGGGGGAAATTGAGAACTTGAGATTCATTTGGAGGAGGAGGAGGAGGAGGAGGAGGAGGGGTAATAGCACCTCATTTGTTTTGTTGCTTTTTTTTAAACCAAGGACCCATTAAAAATCCCACGGCAAGATTTGAAAAGTGAAGGGAGTTTCTCCCAGGATCCTGGTCAACAATCTTCCAGAAACACATCGGTTATTCACATCATGGCTTGTTTGTGTCTTTAACAACTGTGGAGCCAAAGCGGTGGACAAGTTGTCTGCCGCGCTCACTACACCGCACAGCGATTCTCTGTGAAGGGCTTTGAGGCGCTTTTTTTTTTAAAAAGCGTTTTAGGATTAGTGTAGTGTCACACAAAATTAAACGCTCAAACGCGATGAATAATAATAAAAATGGGATTATTCCTGTGCTTATTTTGATCGTAGGGAAAGAGAATAATGAGAGGATTATTGGGGGTGGGGGGGGGGGGGGGGTTTGCCTTATTATTTGCTGCCAAGCAAGAAAAGATCTAAAAGGAAAAGAGTATTCTCCGTTCTCCCCAAACCCTCCTCAGCACCTTAAGCACAAACTAAGCGTCTCTCATCTGGGCCAGAGAGCCAGTGACCCCCAGGGACTGCTTCAACAGCTGGTACCTGGGGAGCGCGTGTAACTCAGAGACCCCTAAATGCCTATTTATTTATTCGTCTTATTTATTACATAAAGTATTGTGTGTTGTATTTGGAGGGAAAGTTTTTTTGGTATTGCCATATTGCCTTTTTTTTAAAAAAAAGCACAATTCATTCCCTTCCTATCCTCCCTACACCCCCCCCCCACACACACACACACACACATAAACTTTTAAAATTAAAATAATTGATTTTTTTCAACACATAAAATTAAAAATCAAAAAGGGAGAGAAAAGGGGAGAGAGAGAGAGACAGACAGAGAGACAGAGAGAGAGAGAGAGAGAGAGA